GTCCCCCCCGTTGACGTACTCGATGACCAGGAACAACCTGGGGGGAGAGCGGGCGGTGGGGGCTGGGACCACGGGCGGCCGGCGGCCCCCGGCCTGCTCGCCGGGAAGCAGCCGCGACCGAGAAGCTGCGCGCTGGGGAAGGCTGTCCCAGGCCGAGGGCCTGTCGTCCTTCTCGGCCGCGTCAACTCTCCCGCGCGGCCGGGTGGGCAGGGAAAGCAGCCCAGACCGGAGAGGCCACGGTGGAGGCGGAGCCCTGCGCCCCTCATCAAGGCATCACCCTGGGAGGCCCGCGGTCACCCAGTTCTGCCCCCGATGTGACAAAAGGCGGACACCCCCACTTTCACCAACTCGCTCGTTCCATCCAAGCAGAGCGAGATCTCCCTCAGGGCAAAAAAGGTAAAAAAAAAATAAGGCCCAGGCGGGAGCGAGGGCCTGGGGAGCAACGGGAACCAGCTCCCCTCATGGGGGAAACACCATGCGAGCCGGTGGCAGGTGCAGGGGCTGGTGATGGGAACAAGGCTGGTGAACGACTGGCCTGGCCGCTGAGTCTGGATGGACTCCAGGAGGGGACAGGGGTGGGCGGAGGAATGGAGGGGCCTGTCGAGAGGGGTGGAGGTGAGGAGATGCCCGTGGGCAGGACGTAGGGAGGAAGGCGCTGGGGGGACTCCTTGCTGGAGCCTGGTCACTGGGCCTGGCTGTTCCCGGTGCAGAGATGACCCCGAGCAGCAGGCCAGAGGGTGGGGGGCTCAGTGCTGGTCCTACCAGTGAGTCTGGGGAGCGGTCGAGGGGCCCCTGGGGTCAGGCCCAAGCTGCCGGGGTCCTGGGATTTAAGGGACCGAGACCCGATGACGTCATCAGACGCGCTCAGGGCCCTTCAAGTCTCCAGACAATCTACCAGGCGGCTTCTTTCCAGATAAGCTCGTTTTCGCATTTAATCAGGTTCCATTTTCAGAATTAAATTCCCACACAATTTTCCAGAAATACCCTGCTGAGGGCAGCTCTCGGATTTGTATTTGTAGGTCACTGGCTCCGCTGGGGGAGTCGGGAGGGAGACAACCCCAGTTCTCGGGCCACGCGGCAGAGTCCGCACAGCTCTGGTCTTCCTTCCGTCCCCACTTCCAGGGATGTCCTCAGAACGCACCCCTGACCTTGCCACAGCCTCACCCGTCTGTACGTGTTCTTGTGCCCACCTTCACGCCACGGGTGAGAGACTGGCACACCTACCACTGGCCCGACAAGCCCAGGGACAGGTGGCAGCCACGTAGCCCACTGCCAGGCTCTGTGCCAACATAACTCACGCTTAACCCTGTTAACCAGGGAAAGAACCTAAGAGTTAGTCCAACATTAAAAAAAACAGCATTTATTCAAAATTCTAGGGTGACTTCTAAGTGGACAGATACTGTCCAGTTACCAGGAATCGTGTCCCCTAGTTCTGGAAAAGGCATCCTGACAGCGCCTAAGGGGGCCGAGGAGTGAAGGGGACATTTGAAAACCAAGAAAAGTGGAACCGAAGGGAGTTTCCTTTTCCGTCCGGGAACCACGGGCCGTTTCCCTACGAGGGACGTGCAGGCAGGTCCAGCCGGGTGCGCAAGGGCCTCTGGTCCCAGGTCCTGGGTCCCTCTCCGATAAGGGAATTCACTTAATTTTAACGCCGATCCACCTACAATCACAGTAGAGGATTCTTTTTCTTTTTAAAGCAGAATTATTATTTTTTTTGTCCATAGATAGACCTTAATCCCACGTCTGACATTTCTCCTGAGTGAGGCTCCATCAGTGGCACCAGGTGCCGATTCACCTGATGACGACGCTGTGACTCAGACGAGCTGCCGTGACAAACCCTCCAACGTCCGCGGGGAGCAGGTGAAGCCCACCTCTGGCTGCGGTGCCTGGGAGGAGGGCGCCTGCCACACGAGTGAAAAAAATGTGATCTTCCGTCTGGACAGTAACACGGGAACAGGCGGGAACTTGTGTAAGAGGAGCGGCGACTCTTGGGCGGTTACTGTCCCGTCCCGCCCCCCCGTGGCCTGTAACCTCCGCCCGGCTGTGGGGCCGGGGCCTGCAGGTGGTATTGCTCAGCCCCTCGGCCGGCGGACACCCTGGAGGACACAGGATGACGGGATCCGGGAACCAGGAGGGGACGGTCCCGTTCCCAGCCGCTCGGTCAGGGGCAGCACCTCTGTGGCCTCCAGCCCTGGCAGACGGGGCACCAATTCCCCGGATGCACCCAGCG